ACCTTTATCAATAAAGTTTAGACCTAATTGGTTATGCAGATAGTGATTTTGCAGGTTGTAAAATTGATAGGAAAAGCACTATTAGAGACTGTCAGCTTCTAGGTGGGAAGTTGGTGAGCTGGACAAGTAAGAAGCAAAATTCAGTGTTCACGTCAACTGTTGAGGCCGAATATGTTGCCGCTGGAAGCTGCTGTGCCCAAATCCTTTGGATTTAAAACCAGATCAGCAACTATGATCTTCAGCTCTCAAAGATTCCTATCTATTGTGATAGCACTAGTGCCATTGCAATTGCAAACAACCCTGTACTTCACTCCAAAACCAAACATATTGAGATCATATATCATTTTATCATAAATCATGTTATGAATGGTAATATCGAACTTTACTTTGTACCCACTAGTACCAACTCGCTGACCTTTTTACAAAACCTCTTGATGAGACAAGATTTAGTATCTTAGTCAGCAAACTTGGAATGTTGAATGTTGAGGACTAATTCCTTCAGCTCTAAGCAATACTCAGTGATACACAAGTGAAATGATTCATTGTTTTTATTCTATCGCTGAATTATTGAGTAAATGTATCTTTCTCTCTAAGGTATGTATAATTATCTTCTTTTCTAAAAACTTAACACCATCACTGAATCTTTTCTCATTCGGTTATCAAAATGTTTTAAAAGAGATGTTTCAATGTTTTCTTCTATCACTGAACTATTGAGTAAGTATATCTCCAAGTTACATCTACTTGTCTTTTTTTAAACAACACTATCGTTGAATCTTTCCTTATTCAATGATTAAAATGTTAAAACTATCACTGAATTTTTCTTATTCAGTGACTTTTGTTTTAAAAGGAAAATGATAATGAACGGCCATAATTTTATGATGTCACTAAAAATATTTAAAATAATGTACTCTCTTTTTATGCATGCATCCTTCTGACGCATGCAGTCCATTACTCTTCCACCAATTATAGGATGATGACATGCAAAAATTCATCATCACACATCTTTTCGAAGCGTCATTTTCCTCTATCTTATTTCTCTCTCATCTCACCTATAAATATAAGACTCACCCTCTCATATTTTTCCTTACGCTTACACAAATCGCTAAAGAACTTTGTTTCTCAAGAATTTGTGCAAACAAGAGCTCCAAAAGAACTCGTTACAAACCAGTTTCCTTTTCCTTTTCTATTTCTTCAAGAAACAGATTTATAATCTTGTTTTTTTGTTGTTTTTCTTCAAAGAAACTGTTTATTATTAAAAAAAAGTTGTTTCTTTTAAATACAAACAACGGTTTATATATCATTATTCTTCTTGATTTATTAACCAAGTTTCTATAAATCCTAAATATGCTTGAAAACCCCATTCTTCTTCTGGTTTTCAAAAGAAAGTTTTTCTTTCAATACTTTGTCCTAAAGTACTTTACTAACATTAATATGTGCACCTGTCTTCTTTTTTGTTCATCTCCTTTTATACAAATGGCTGCACCAAGTGTCAACTTTGCTTTGGATGAAATCTCTATCAAACTCAACAACCATGTCGTTCTCCTTGACATTCCTGCAAACAAGCCACAGTTTGCAGATGCTACCAAGTTTTTAAGGAAAATTGTGCTAGGATTTGCTCTTACCTTCAAATCAGTAATGGTGAAGGATCTTCTCCAGCAATTCTGGTACACCGTTGAGGCAAAGGAGGTGACTGACAAGAACGGGAGCACGATAGAGAAAATCTTCTTCACTTACAACAACGTGATTGTCAGCTTCAGCGTTCTTACCATCAGGACTTCTCTTCGTCTTCCCAAGACTATCTCCTTCGCCAAAGAACCTGATATTGAGCACATTGTCAAGACCTTGAATGATATCGGCCACAACTGGCCACTGAAGAAGGACTCAAGCACAGAATTGAACAAATCACTGATGAAGATTGAGAAGAACAGAATGTCTGCCGTCTGGCAATACCTTTTCTCGCACTTTATTCAGTGCATGGACGGCAAGCCTGGAGGATAATACCAAGCCTCACGAGTGGCTCTATACATCGGAACTTTAGTGATCAAGAACATCAATGTGAACTACGCGTAGCTGATTTTCGATAACTTGGTGCTGAAGCGGAACAAGCGTCAGCATGAGAAAGTGGTGCCCTACACAAGGTTCGTTAGTGGGATTCTCTTAAGGATGTTCACATCAAACTACCCCACTGAAGGTAACCTTCCCATATATCGCTTGGATCAAGGATTCTTGATCACAAGACCAAGTCAACAGACATTGGCATATTTGTCCCCATGTTGAGGATAGCCAATAATTTTTCTCTTCCCTCTATTTTATCTTCTTCTTCTCATGTAGTTAAGACTATGGCAAACCCCCTAGTCTATCCCGACCTCCACCTTCTTATCCTCCATGAAGAGGACATAATTTGAATCCCATCTTAGTTCTTCAAAGAAGGCTAAGAAATCCAAAATAGGAATGCCAAACAATCTAGTTGTGACCTCTCAAAAGGTCTTAACTATTAAAAAAGGCTTAACCCCAAGGTGCCTTCTGAACCCCTCCCCAGATCTTTAGTTATCTCTTCAGATACTTTCGTGCACATGGCTTATCTTCTAACCACTTTAGTGACCCAAATCACTAAAAGTGTGAATACCAGCATCGGCATTACTGATCTATCAAAATATTTCTTAGCCATTCTCTCCTCCCCTCCTTCAATGGTCTGTACCACACGTGTTGATGATCCCATAGTGGTTGTCCCTATCAATGTTGAATCCATCACCACAGGACCTGAGGTTGCTCCTTTAAAACTTCCTCAGATACATGTTGTTGCTCCTCTCGACAGCACATTTGAGACTCCCAGTGTTAATACTTCAGATGACGCTGATGACCCCCAGGTACAATCCCAACCTCTGTTTGTTTCTTTACTAATCCCAAGCTATCTTATGCTTAATGTTCTCTTCCCTCTATAGGTCCTTTAAGGAATGAACCCCAACCATAGAGACTGAACCTGAAATGTTGGTCCCAACTGGATCTACAAGAGTTTATAACTAACAGTTTGTAGAGGGGGGATTAATACAAACACAACAGCTTTCACTTTTAAAAATTATATATTGATAAAGAAAATCAATAAAAATTTTACAGACTGTTTGAAGAAGAGATAGGATACAAAACCTATCTAAATAATCGAAGATACACAGAATTAAATATAACAATAATAAAAGATTTGCTACAAGACAAGAAATAAGATAAAAAGAAATGTTCTCTTCACTTGTTAAAGTGGGTTTTTCTTTTAGACGAAGAGTAGAGAGAGAAGTATCTTCTTGGGTAAGATTAGATGAGGAAAATGTTAACTGAGAAGAGAGAACTACTCAGCTATTTATACACATTGCATTAAATGAAATTCAAAAGGTATAAAGCATGTGGATAGATCTTAGAAGAGAGTTTGTCCTTTGTTGTAGGTATACAGTCTTTTGGCCGTATATGAACAACCTTCTTTTATAAAGTAGGTAAGCATGCTTGGAGACAGTAGAGTGATTCCATACTGTACTTTACTTTGTAAAGGTATGGGTTTGTCCTTTATGTGCAGAAGGACAAGATAAAAACTAGTCTTGTTCAACAAGATTCATTTGATCGCTAAACACTAGAATGACGATGAACGTCTCACTGTTCGTTGAACCTTGCATAAATCTTCACACTTGTGTAGATGAGCTTGTTATCATTAAAAACCATTTCAGATCATGAACTTATTGGTCTCTATTTTTTAGCTTCTGTCTTCGACATCGCTGAAAAATCTGTGGTGTTGAGTTTTGTCTTCTTGAAGGATACTAGTCTCTTAATGAATTACAATACATGTTCAACGATCCATTGAACAAACTCAGTGATGATCGTTGAAACTGTATACAGAGATAATACACTTCAATAGATAAAAATGATCATTATCAAAACATTAAGAGAGAGGATCAACAATCTCCCCCTCTTTGATGATGACAAAGCAACAAAGAATTTTTTTTAACTTACATCAGTAAGAAAAAGGTACTAGTAAAATACTTGTCCTTTTTAACTGTTTTGGGATCTTTTTCAGTGATATAGTTTACTATGTAAATTTACTTAAGTTGTAAATGATTACAAGGAAAGATTAAATTTGCATAATATTAATAACTGAAACTGAAATCATATTCACCAACTAGAAAGGTGTCAATGAATGTAAGACATAAACAGAACTCATAAATACTTGTCCCATTTCCTCTTTTTAGGGATCTTTTTCAGTGAACTGTTCATTTTATTGAATATTTTTCAAGGGAAAATATCACAAGTCATTACAATAAGCATTTATAGACCTAATAAATAAAGGATATACACTGAAAGATAAGAAAAGAAAATAATATTACAAGATTGAAAGGACTTCTAATCTAAGTTGCTGAAGTTGATGTATTCAGGGACATCTTCTCCAAGCTTCTAGCATCTCAACATTTCCTTTCTGATCTTGCGCTCCCTCATCTCTCCAAATAGATTACATTTAGCCAAGTCCTTAGATACTCTGAGTGATCTACAGGGCAGAGATGGAACTCGGATACTCGTTGAAACTTGTATTGACCATCATAGTCTATGAACATAAGTCCATACTCAGGTTTCACGTGCACTGTGTTGGGTATATAAGGACCCTGTGACAAGTTCAACATAGAGATATTTGGCTTCTTTTGATCCTTGAGAAGTTTATCCATTGAGAATATTGTCTCGTGCTCGTTCTTGTAGGATGGACCGTCTTCAGGTTCTGAAAGGAATTTTCTTTGAGAGGGCGCTTCTTTGGCAGAGGAGGAACTTCGATGATCTTTGACACCTTCTTGAATAAATTATTTAGGACATCTTCAATCAAAGGCATGTGCTTGGATTTAGATCTCTGAATAGCCTATCGAATCTTCAATCACTCATAGAAGCCATATTGTCCGAGGTATGAAGGATACTCCATCACAGCATCTTGATTCTCTCGAAAAATGACCATTGAGACTAGGAAGTGGAGGTCTCTCCCCCTAGGAAGATGGTTCCCAGATGGAGATTCCCTTCAGTGTTGGATGTCTTGGGATGACTTGGATGCAAAATTCATCATCTTCATCATCATCACCAAGATCATTGCTGGCATCAGGGATTTGAAGTTCAACGTTCTCCTCTTCATCATCGTCTTCATCATCATCCTCATCACCAGCAATTGGCAATGCAGAGGTGGAGAGATGGTCTTCATGATCAGCAGAAGTGATCACGGAATCATCTTCATCGATGGCATCCTCAGGGTAGGGATCAGAGCATCTACATTAGGGATTGAAGCAGCAGCATCATCAGCAACAATTTTCTCTTCCTCTTTATCTTTCGTCCCCTTTTTGGCATTATCAAGACGAGAGGAGAGGTCATTAAGATGAGAGGAGAGGTCTTATAGTTTGTGCTATAGGGAGGAAAGAGCTTTACCCTAGAGAATATTGAAAGCAACTACCCTTTCCAGTTGTTGACGGTCTGCTTCTCTGAATGATGGTTCAGGGACTAGTGCCGGTAGCTAGAGGAGTTGGATGATTTGCTGAAGTAGCTCACCATGCAGGCTTTGTTAGCTTTGCGGGATAGAACATCTACAATTTTAGTGTTGGCTTAGGCTTCAGTCTTCACCGCCATCAGCGACTCCTTGACATCACAAACCTCATATTTGACAGCAGAGAGGCCGTTTATCAGTTCGCCCTTGAAGAGCATTGCCTTGTGCACCTTGTCCATTTCATCAAGGACTGTGGCGACAACGGGTATCCCTAGCTTGACGTCCTCAGCCATGCCTTCAGCTTCAGTTTCTATGGTTGTGGGTTTATTTCTTGAAAAACCTGTAGAGTCAATAGAGTGACCATAAGAAGGCTAAGAGTTTGTATGAAAGAAAAAAGGGAAGGCTTGGTCTTTACCTGAGGGATTCTCAACGTCATCTGAAGGATTGACACTAGTCATTGCACATGTTCCATCTTGAGGATTGGTTGTAAGTGTCTGAGGTGCCTCGAGAAAAGCAACCTTAGGTCCTATGTGATGTCTTAACCAATGGTGGGGACAACCACCATGGGATCATCAACACGTGCGATGGAGACCAAGGAAGGAGGAGATGAGATGATGGCTGAGAAAGAAAGTCAATGATCAATAATGGTGATGCTAGTATTCACACTTTTAGTGATTTGGGTCACTGAAGCGGTTGGGAGAGGAGCCACTTGTACGACTATATCTGAATAGTTAACTGAAGAGCTGGGAGGGTTAATGCCTTGGGGGTAAGGCTTTTTTCAATATCTGAGACCTTTTGAGAGGTCACATCTAGATTACTTGGTATCCCTCTTTTGGTTTTTTAGCCTTCTTTGAAGAACTAAGATGGGCTTCAGATTGTGTATTCTTTTTGGAGGATAAGGTGATGGTAGTCGGGATAGACTGAAGGGGGTTTTCCCCAATCTTAACCACCATAAAAAAAGAAGAAAAATAAGAGAGGGTAGAAGAGGAATTGGCTATCCTCAATATAGGAGGGAGTAGACCAATGTCTGATGGTTTGGTCTTGTGGTAGAGAATTTTGGACCCAAGCCGACAGATAGGGAGGTTACCTTCAGTGGGGTAGTTTGTTGCGAAGATCTTAGAGAGTATTCCACTGAGAAACCTTGTGTAAGGCACGACCTTCTAACGTTGATGCTTGTTCAGCTTCAGCACCAGGTTATCGAAGATCAACTGTGTGTACTTCATGATATTCTGGATCACTGAGTTGCCGATGTTTAGCACCACTCATGAGGCTTGGTCTTGTCCTCCAGTCTTGACTCCCATGCACTGAATGACAAAAGAACATAGTAGAAATAGAGAAATACTTGTATTAAAATTTAACTATTTCTACTATGTTCTTTACGTTAATAGTTTTACTTAAATTTTAATACAAGTATTTCTTATGCATTTCTCTATTTCTTATGTTTGACTGTTATTGCACTTTGAAATAAATGTTAAATTGATGTGCTTGGGAGTATATTTTCCAAATAAAGTCCCCATCCGTAAACGCTACTTGTTAACTCGGGCACGTCCCTGGGCCATGGTATTGTGGATAGTCGCTATTGTATTGACAGTCCCACCCAGAAAGGGGTGCACATTACATATGTTTTCTTGTCTAATCATGTGGAATTTGGACCACCGCTGAATTAGTACATCTACGAATTGTGGGATCTAAGTAAGTGTACGGGCTACTTATGGTCGTTCGTAAATTAATGGGGCAAGTTGGTCAGGTAAGGCTCAGTAGCGTCTCAAGTTTTTACATCGTGGAAGATTTACATTTATTAAGTGCAAAAAATTCGCATAAGTTTGCAAATATTTGGTTTATGCATTAAAGTGTTTTATGCATATGAAAACCCGTGAGCTCACCAACTCTTTGTAGTTGACTCGTTTTATGTTTCATGCTTTTCAGGTAACAAGTAAGAAATCAAGTATTTCGGAAGCATACTTGTGGCAAAACTGATTAAGTTCGCAATGGAAGTTTTTGTAAAAGAAGTATTTGTCAAAATTTTGGTTATGATGTTAAACTCTTTTTATTATTGAAAAAATGAAAAGTGTTATTTATTAATTGTTGCTGTGACTCGCTTACCTGTTGCATCTCGTGTTTCCGCTTTAGCGGGGTGTGACATATTGCAACAACAACTTCACATCCACAACCATGTCATAAACTTCATGTTAATCCTCTCTCTCAATGATTTGATGATGATCCATTTTATCTATCGAAATGTATTATCTCTGTATTCAGTTTCACGCGATCATCACTAAGTCTGTTCAGGAACATTTTTCTTCTTGATTTTAACCAAGTTTTAATACCCTAAATCTTCTTGAAAAACCTTATTCTTCTTCTGGATTTTTCAAAAGAAAGTTTTTCTTTCAAAACATTGTCCTAAAGTGCCTTTCTAACATTAATCTGTGCACCTTTCTTATTTTATGTTAATCTTTTTTTAACAGAATTGATTGCACCAAGTGTTAACTTCACTTTGAAGGAAATCTCTTTCAAGCCTAACAACTATGTCGCTCTGCTTGACATTCCTGCAAACAAGTCACACTTTGCAGATGTTGCCAAGTTCTTAAGGAACTCAATACTAGGGTTTGCTCTCTCCTTTGAACCAATAATGGTGAAGGACCTACTCTAGCAATTATGGTATAACGCTGAGGCAAAGGAGGTGACTGAAAAAGCCGGGAACATTACTGAAAATATCTTCTTCTCATACAACAACATGATTGTCAGCTTCAACCTTCCTACTGTCAGGACTGCACTTCGTCTTCCCAAAATTGTCCGTTTCACCAGAGAACCTGACACTGAACACATCATCAAGACACTGGATGATGTCAGTTACAATTGGTCTCTGAAAAAAGACTCGAGCACTAAGCTGAACAAATCATAACGAAGATCGAGAAGAACCATATGTCTATCGTCTAGGGGTTACTTGAATGATCCAAAACTGAAGGATAATCTAAAGATATCACAAGATCTGAAGAAAGGAACCCTTTTGTCTTAAAGTTGGAATTATG